AAAGTCTTCCTTCTTGACAGATTTCCCGAGTTTTCTTACTTTTTTTCCTTCCCACCCAAAAAAATATATTAAAATTTAAAAATAAATATATATTTTTCTCTAATTATATAAGGTAAAAAAACGAAACTGATATGAAATTCGCTACAAAATAGATAAGTCAAACTGATAATTACATAATACATCTATCACTTGTCTAGTAACAAGATAAAATTAGTGATAATCTTCATTCATATAGTCTACACCTGAGTATATTTTATATCTATGTTTAATATTCCAGGTATTCAACGATAAGGAATAAAATTAAAAAAACACTATTTATATTATTTTTCTTATGTCTTTTAACAAATGTTTTGCAGGTGCGTGACTGACACAATGACTTTATTTTTGTGTAACCGTAACTGCAGTAAATGCATTAAAATAGGTGAAGCATCTGCTTTCGCTTATACAGCTACATATAACAATAAAATATTATTATTTTTAGGTATTTTATTGTGAAATAATAGAAAAGGTTTAATTATTTTAGGTTATTAATTTTCTAGCTAAACATGTTTTATTAAGCCACAAGATAAAAGAAAAAAAAAAGTGTACGTAATAACCTCTAAATGACGGCCATCGCTGAGTAACCGGAATTTTTGTTACCTTCGGTGGTCTCTGTTCACAGGTTTAACTGTACAGTATTTAATAAACTATCGTCCTGCTTGTTGATATAAAAAAGGGTAGCCCAAAAGTCAGTTAACCATTTCTGTCTTATTAAAATACCTTATTACTAACAAACTTGTTTACACTGTGATCGTTCTTATACAATATGGTTAACTGACCTTTGGGTCACTGTGATTCTAATGAAATTTAATCATTTTTAAAGCAATTAACTAATTAAAAACATCTTAAAAAAAACAATAAATTTTATTTTAAACCGGAAAAAAACATACAAAAATTCTAATTATAATCAAAATACATTACGTTTTAATAATAATAAAAGAATTATACATTATGACAATACCAGTCGAACCCCCTATAACACTGTTGATTTTTCCGTTTTATATGAATTCCATGTTGTACGAGTCACTCAAATACACAAGTATAAATATTTATTTTTTTAATTCCACGTAACGATTAATCAATATTTATTTACAATAACTTCAAAGTTCCACGTTTGGTTACGAAGTAATTTCACTTCCATTAATCAAAACTCAATTATGAAAGTAATAAAACGTGATTAATTATAATGAATGATACATTAAAAAAAAAATACTTTACATAAAGTTTAACACGTTACAAATATCAGAAAACTTTCAATTTTACGCTGTGAATTACGGGAATTATATACACACATCGAACCTCGATGTAGCGCACCCGCAAATAGCATCACACCGGGTAAAGCGTTAATGATTATCTGCTTTTCCTTAATTTAGCGTTATATTAAATTTAGGTGCCAATTTCAATAAAAAACGGTGGCGCTAAATCGAGGTTCCATTGTAAATAAACAATTACTTGGAGGATTAATGACCACAGAACAATTAATAATTTGATGATAGTTATATATTATACTGTTGTGAAATTTAAATAAAAATATAATTATTTCATAATGTTTCCTGTTAGTTACGCCTTAAATCCTGTTGTGGAATAAAGGAGGAAATTCTACATCCTAGACATTCGCGGGTTCGTGCCTCACAAACAAGTTAACGGTGTGAAGGAGACGGTGGTATTAAGTCGAGGGTTTGTGCCTCACAAACAAGTTAACGGTGTGAAGGAGACGGTGGTATTAAGTCGAGGGTTCGTGCCTCACAAACAAGTTAACGGTGTGAAGGAGAGGGTGGTAGTAAGTCGAGGGTTCGTGCCTCACAAACAAGTTAACGGTGTGAAGGAGA